AATGAGGGCAATTCTCGCCGATCCACTGGCTCAAATTTATGGGCGTCCTACGACCCCTCCGGTCTTCTCTCTGCGGCAAGGCCGCGCGGTCAATCTCACCATTGATACCTGCCCAGATCGCATTCATTTTGGCTTCAGTTTTTTGCATGCACATCCTCTTGAATAACTTGAACCAATCCTTGTTTTTAAATTTGGAGTAAAAGTTTGCTGCCAAATGCCTCATGCACCACCTTCCCTCTAGATCGGGCCAGCCCCACTCTTCTTCCGACGCCTTAATTATTTCAAGAGCGCTTAATAATCCAATGTTGCGATCAGAGATGATGCAAACACCTTTACGCTCTTTCACGACACCAATCTTCACGCAGCTCAGGAACCACAACCAGCTATCTTTGTTCTCGCTCTCGACCAATGCATATGCAATAGGAAGAAGCTGATTATTTGCATCCGCTGCAATCGCCACCAATAGTGTGCCCTTGTACTTTCCAGTGAGAAAGGTACCATCAACTGATAATACCGGGAGACAGTGCCTGAAGGCTTGTATAGTCTGGGCGAATGCCCAGAATAAGCGGTCCAGGATTAGCTCACCCGGGTTCAATGGGTTTGGACGTTCTTTCCGCCAAACTTGAGTCCCCCTATTAGCACTTGCTATTTGATGAAGCATTCTAGGTGCATAACAATATGCCTCCTCATAGGTACCATACAAGTTCTTGAATATATTTTCCTTCGCACGCCTAGCCTTGCTGTAGCTAACAGGGAATCCAATTAGATCCCCTGCATCTTTTTGCAGAGCCCTAACACTAATGTTGAGACTTCCCTGCACAATTGTTTCCATCGTCTGTGTCACATATTTTGCTGTCACATTGCAGTGATATGAAAGAGTCCCAGTTTGCTCACAGGTATGCTCCACTATTTTTGTGATATGCCATGACTGACATACCCCAGGCTTCAGTCTAGCGAGAACTCTTCCGCGGCAACCTTTCGCGGTGTGGATGCATATGACCTTCAACTCTTTTTTATCAGACTGCTTCACTCTATGCTGGCGGTGGATGCCGATTGCATAGCTACCCATTGCCTGGTAAGCAGACTTCTTGTCTGGGAAAACTTGCCCAACCTCCAGGCTCCCCGCTCCTAGGCCAGAAGCAGAGTGAAATTCATTGGTGATGCTCATATCCTATAAAAACCCAGGTTGCAGTGCCGCCGCGACCGCCCTCTGAGGAGGAACATCTTCTTCTTCGCTTGACTCCGAAGACGCAGAAGAATAATCATCATCATCTAGCGCCTCCGGCAATCCCTCCACGTGTTCGCTCATGTCAACGGCCGCAGACCAATATCCTGTTTCATACACAGGCTGGCCGCCCGTCGGTTCCGATGGGCCGACGCTAGGGGCTGATGTGATGGCCAACTCGACCTCACCACCCCTGCTACTGCATCCGGCAACATCAGTGACTGAAATGAAATCCACATACACCATCGGCTGACCATACATTGAGTTATTGGGATTGCTTGCAAACCTCATGTATGACCCCCACGACCGATCACCTGTGACCGGCCGCAAACCCCAACGGGCAACTGTTCCATCATTTCCTCCGTCAACGACGAAGGCCTCCATTGTCATTTTTTCCCTGCATCCCTGGGCCAAACACCTCTCGGATGCACCTTCTAACTGCTGCGTAACCCACGTTGACCATGTCTCTCACTACAACTGTAGTCGACTCTCACAAGGACACATCCACCCCCAATGGACCGTCGCGTAAGACGTTCCCATAATACACTACTAAATCTTCCATAGTACCTAACCAACATACATGTTTACATTGCAAACAATTAGTAACAGAACATTTAGTAGTAGTACGATGACAACATTTACATATCATACGACTAAAATAATAATCGTATTTTCGTTACAAAAAATAATAATCATTTGCTTAGACTTTCCGGGGTTGTTTGGTTAACAGGTATTTAGAGATCTAATTTTTCTCAAACTCGTCTACTAGCGTCACAAACTAAAACTCTGTTTGCTTATCTCTAACTACCCCTAAAATATCCTAAACTCTGTTTGCTACTAAGATGAATTGTTTTACCTAATTACATACATCATCAAGTACATTAGCACAAATTCGTAACATACAAAATTTAGATTATTTCGACATAACAAAGTAGACCTGCAGCCTCCTAACTATAGACTTATTAATAAACATACCACATGAAATAACATACCACATGCAATGAACAATTACAGTACAAGTGTTTCTTAATTACCGTATTAAGATTTCTTGCATGTCAATACTAATGGACGCACCTAACATTGATACAACATCTTCAACTTACTCTTCTAAAAAATATATTATAAATGCTACATCTGTCATCTGAAATTATTTCTAACCTCTAATCACTAACATTGCATAGCTAATGATGAGCTAAAAGACTAACTAATTACCACCTTGCATGCACAAAAAAATCAATTTATTGCAAAGCTCATACCTTGATCTTCAACTTCGTAGTTCACTTCGCTAGGCAAATCGTACTCCTGAAGCTCTAAATGACTCCAAAAAGTGATGAAATAATGCCTAACAAAATAGATAACACATAGTTATGAACTAAACAAAAAGGGTAAAAACATAATGCATGCAAACGAAACCAACAAAAATGGATAGATCTTACCTTCGTCTATCTTTTCTTCAACTTCAACATATTCAAAATCCAACTCCAAATCGCCCTAAATCACGAGTGAAAGTGCCTGCTGAGTTTTTCTTTCTCTCTGTTCTTACACACTCAGAAGGTAGAAGAGGATGCCAGTGTGCTTGCGCACGGAGCAGAAGCATGCTATATAAAAGGAAGAGAATCCCTGTAGTGTCGGCACAACAGGTTCCCGCAGCCTCGGATACCCGCAGCGAGTGATTCCCACAGTACCACCAAATCTGCTGAAGCAATAATCAGCGTGATTCTCGCAGTGCCGTCGCATCCGCTAAGGCAAAAGAAGCAAAAGCTAGAGTGATTCCCGCCCGTGAAATTCGTCGTCCTCCACGCGTGGGAATCAGCCCAGTTAGCAACAGCGAGCCCGTGAAATTCGTCGTCGTTGCGCCTGGCAAAGCAACAAGATTAAGCAAGCAACAAAAGTGACGCGCACGGGAATCAGCGCCTGGAAAAGTGTCCGCGCATGGGAATCAATGCCTGAAGCAGCGCTGCCGCCTCACATGGTGGCGGCCGGGCCCACTGTCTCGTCGCGCGCGCAGCAGACCGTGTCGGCAGGGGAGCGACAGCGGTAGCGGCGGCCGCCTCACCCGGTGGCGGCCGGGCCCACGTGGCGCGGCCCGTTCCGTCGCGGCACGCTGCACTGTGCAGAAGCCGTTGTGCCCCGCGAGGCCGCCTCCTGCGGTGGCGGCCGGGCCCGCCGCCTCGTGGAGTGGCGGCAGGTGACACGTGTCGCCTGCCGCGCCTGCCGCCACTTGTGAGGGGGTCTCTTTTGTCAATTTCGTCCGCAGGGGGTCTTTTTCGGCAATTCCAGTCGGCAGAGGGTCTCTTTCGACAAAAAATATGTAGTATGAGCCTGAAATTTGAAGAGCATCATCGGTGAGGGAAGTTGGCGAACGACGCCGTCGTGATGAGGGAGGACCGCTGGTAGGGGAGTACGGCCGGCTGGGGGAGTTGACAGGAAGGATCTCGGCTCCAGCTCTGTCCACCTCGACCGGTCGAATCCGGTGCCGCCACTGCTCCGACAAGAGTGGTGGAGCGGCCTTGATTTGTATCCGTGCCCTAATTGACTTCATCCCTGCCCTTGGCACAAGTGTGACCGGCCGCGGCGGCCACCGCCGCCACTCCTATGGAGGCGTGGAAACCCTTACAGGAAGGCGACTGAACGAGCGGACGGCTTGAGGAGCGGGCAGCTGGGATTAGGGGAAGGGTTATGTTTTTTTTTCCTTGACGCACCAAACTGGGTTTGAGAAAAAAGAAAAAAAACGTGAACATAAGGAACAACGACGTGGCTGGGGGGAACGATGCCCGGAGGGAGAGTTCGACGAAAGGGAGCGACGTAAGAGGGGAGAGGAAACCTTACGTTTCTTTTAGATAGTAGAGAAAACAAATACACCTTATATGAAGAAATGAAGGGAGTATGACCTTGCATTGTTATTGCTACGTCAAAATATTTTATTAGAAACTTTGAGGAAATATATAAACGAATCAGTTAATATAGGAGCAGACAAGCCAAATCAGTGAGTAAATTGGCCGACGGCGACAGCGACGGCGATGCGTCCCGCCGCGGTCCTATATAAACCGCTAGCTTAGATAGTGCTCACCCGGCCGGCCGAGGCGCCATTAGCTACAAGAGAAGAGGTCGCTGGCTGAGGGGAAGATGGCGGCGCACGTGTTGGCCTTCCCGTGGCCGCTGCAAGGCCACATCAACCCCATGCTCCACCTCGCCTCCGCCCTCCTCGACGCCGGCCTCCGCGTCACCTTCCTCCACACGGAGCACAACCTCCGCCGCTTCACCCGAGTGCCGCCACATCACCCGCGCCTCCGCCTGGTGTCCATCCCCGACGGCCTCCCCGACCACCATCCCCGCTCCGTGGGCGGCCTCATGGAGCTCGTGGAGTCCATGGGCACGGCGGGCAGCGCAGCGTACCGCGCCCTGCTGCTACGGATGGTGGACTCGGACGACGACGACGCGGTGACGTGCGTCATCGCCGACGGCGTGATGCCGTTCGCCGTCAGCGTCGCCGAGGAGCTCGGCGTCCCGGCGCTCGCGTTCCGCACGGAGAGCGCGTGCGGTTTCCTCGCGTATCTGTCCGTGCCCAGGCTCCTCGAGCTCGGCGAGACGCCCGTCCCTTCCGACGAGCAGGTGCGCGCCGTCCCCGGGATGGAGGGGTTCCTACGGCGCCGAGACCTCCCGCGTGTAGTGCCACCACCACCCGGACGACCCCGTTCCCGTGCTGCTGACCATCGCCGACACCGCCGCTCGCTGCGGCGAGTCACGGGCGCTGATACTCAACACCGCCGCGTCCATGGAGGGGCCGGCGCTCTCGCGGATCGCGCCGCACATGCGCGACGTCTTTGCCGTCGGCCCCCTCCACGCCAGGCCAGCCGCCAGACACGCCGCAGAACACGTGAGCAGCGACGACATGAGCTTGTCGGCGTGGCTGGACGGCCACGAGGACCGGTCCGTGGTGTACGTGAACCTAGGGAGCCTCACGATCGTCTCCAGCGAGCAGCTGGCCGAGTTCCTGCACGGCCTCGTGGCCGCCGGCTACGCCTTCCTGGGCGTGTTCCGGCAGGACATGCTCCACCAGATGGCCGCCGCCGCCGCCGCTAGCGCTAGCAAGTCCTCCGTGGCCCTCCGGGAAGCGGTGGAGGCGGTGGCAGCAGCCGGCAGCGAGAGGGCGCTGGTGGTGGAGTGGGCGCTGCAGCGGGACGCGCACCACGTGCTGCGGCACCGCGCGGTGGGGTGCTTCCTGACGCACGGCGGGTGGAACTCGACGCAAGAGGCCGCCGTGGAGGGCGTGCCGGCGGTGTGCTGGTCCTTCTTCGCCGACCAGCAGACCAACAGCCGCTTCGTGGGGGCCGTGTGGAGGACGGGGCTGGACATGAAGGACGTGTGCCAAAGGGCCGTGGTGGAGAGGATGGTGAGGGAGGCAATGGAGTCCCCTGAGATCAGGGCGTCGGCCCAGTCCATGGCACGGCAGCTCAGGCTGGACGTCGCCGAGGGGGGCTCGTCGTCGTCCGAGTTGGAGCGCCTCGTCCGCCTCATCACCGAGCTCAGCCTCAGTGCCGTGAAAATTTCATCGCCTGCTCCCGCTCTCACTTGATTTATATGCTGATCTGCTGTAATAAGAGGTGGTGCATGTGCATGCAGCCACCAGTACTGTCTGTCTGTGGTGTGTATTTGATGTTGTGTGATGCTACATAATTTGCAATTGCAGGACTGTTGAGTGGATGATCTGGTATTGTTTTTATCTTTCTTTCTAAAGATGCATGTGAGGCCATCATCTTTATTGTGTTGAAAATAATCAACACATTAATAAATATATGGAATTATGTTTATTAGTGTTTATATTAGTAGTCATCAACCAATGCATCGGCATGATGCTAAATACTAGATGACATGTTGCGCCGATGGCGCGGAAGCTTCAAGACCGTTTTGACGCAGAGTGGTGGTTTGTTTGGTGGCGTGCTCCGGAGCGCCCAAGATGAAGGTTGGGATCGGGAGAAATCCCTGTCGGCCGAACCGACACCGACGCGGTGGTGCCTGAGGGTGTCGCCGGACCTTTCTGGAGGGCGTCGGGGGTACCCTTCCTCTCTCCTCGTCGTGTACCAGAGGAAACACTTGGCAGTAGGGTCATCGTCGTCGCTCCCTTCTTAGAGGTGTTGATTGGTACCGGCGCTTCGGAGTATAGGAGCATGGTGGAGGATCTCCGGTGGGCGCGGCGGGCGCGAAGCTTCTTCGCTTTTGTTCATCCGCCGGTGTCGACATTTCTTTCTTTTCTTTTTCTCTTTTGTTTCTTCTGGGCGTGCCTGTGCTGGTTCCGCCCCGGCACCTATCTGATTGTATCGCCGATGGTTTGCTTTGTAATACAAAGCGGAGGAAACCCTATTTCGTCAAAACTTTCAGTAAGAGCATCTCTCAGGCTCACAAAAGTTTCGTGCCCTAAAATAGTTTTAGTGCGCCAATGTAGTACTTTTAGCGCGTCGGACCCAACGTTGCTTTACTAGATGCCAAAAAAACATGCGCACAAAAAGACACGCGATGTAAATTGTGAAGCGCGCGCAATCCGGCGCCTCAAATTTGCAACATGCGATAGCGTTTTTCAGCGCGCGTCCAACCATTTTTTTGCGTGCACATTGTTTTACAGCCTTTGCTGGAGCTGTCCGGCGCACAAAAAACCTGAATTTTAGCGTGCGGAGCAGTTTTTGGCCTGCTGTTGGAGATGCTCTAAGCAAAACTACATAGGCAGAAATGGATCATGTAGATTGCTTTGATAACCCAGCTTCTGGCATCTAAGATATGTAGTCTTTCGCCATCTTCATAATTAACTATTTTGACGCTTCTGCAGAATAAAACCGTATAATAAATGAATAGGGAAACCGATAGTAGTTGCACACACAAAAACATTTGGGAAAGAACTTTGTAAGGGGACGTGAATTTTTGGAACATGCGGCCATGCGCTGCCGCAATTAAGCCCGTCCGTCCGCGCGTTGCGATGACTACTTTTAATAGGACATTAGGGAATACAGGGCAGGCTAATTTCCAGCTTCTGGAATACATCTCATTATACGGCGCATAATGTGGACCAGGCCCGCATTCAATACCATACGAATACACGAGCCATGCAACACTCACGCAATGGAATAATTGCTCTTTGTGTTGAGTGGACATAATTGTGTGCTCGTCCGAGTTTGTTTCTCGCACTGCTCATCTCGTCTTCCCGTCGTCTGTGGACGAATAGAGCTAGGTCTGGCGATGGATTCTGCACAAACGGAGATCAGGTCAAGCCGTTGAAACCATCTTTCTGATTCGTTCTTCACCTATGCCTTTGGGTGTCTTGCTTCCACATGTGTTTGATCTAGATTTTGGTTGGATCCCCTAGCTTAAAGTCATTGTTGGCGGCGAGTTCTCGATCTGGGTCAGCCGGTGAGACGGACCCGCCATCCCCGTCTGTTTGCCTCGTTTTGCAAATCAATCGGCGCGCCTCGGTACACTGCGAGAGGTTGCTGAAGATGACCCAGGCGGCAGATTTGCGAATTTGCTAAATTCTGTTGAGGGTGTTGCTGAAGATGGATCATCAATTGATTGCTGGGTGCATTTACATTTTGCAGGGGCAGCTGGGCGTATTCACTCTTCTGATGTGTCTTTACTATGCATCGCATGTGGGTTGGAGGAGCGATGAATTATTGCAGTTGGCCTGGGTGTGGTGCACACGCACTGCATGGGGTTAATGCCATGCGTGTGTCTGGCCGTGGTTTAAATAAATTTGTATCGTCCCGCGAGATTAGTCGGAGTTAATTCACAAATGCTCATAAACGATGGATATATATTAAAAATAACAGTTTGTCTAATTCACATCTAGATGTTTTTCAAGAATGTCACTTCTAAGCTCCCACAAATATATAATGCATCAACAAGAAAAAAAAGTAGGAAAAAAATAGACCACAAACAAAGTGGACATCAGCTTAGATGTGACATAACTTATGTCACATCTAGATGTGACCTAGACAGACCCTAAAGATAATCCAGCCGCCTGCATACATATGTCTGTCTGCGACAGGAGCTGGGAGGACAGATGCATTACATGGAGCAGGCGGATAAGAAAAATGCATAATGGAAGAAGAAATCCATCACACGAGGGGGGCTTCAGAACTTGTGGATGCAGGGAATGGCCATTAGCAGCATGCTGGCGACGCCCAAGATAAAAATGTTTTTCACCCATGCTTGATTCTGTTCAAGCAGTGTGACGCGCCGATACACAGATGCATGTCAAATCAGGTGTCCCCAGCGGGCGCTAAAGTACCGTATGTACTTTTTCTCCCACTTTCAAAATGTGCATCCACCAAACTGGAAAACACACAAACCATTGGTTGAGTGAGGAGCTAACCTAGGACTTGGATGAACACATGCTTGCGAGAGGGGGGGAAAGCAGAGATGATATGCAACTTGAGCGGGATGGGAATTTTGAAAATTCCATTTTAAACCCTGAACTCGTAGAGGTTCGGCGAAATGAACCCCGAAGTCGAAATCCTGATCGATTGCACCCTGAACTATGCAATCCTGGTCTAAATCGAACCTTCGGGTCATTTCCCAAACAGGGATTGTCCACGTGGCAAAGGATGGCCGGGATTGGTGGGATTTTGCAAAGCGCACAACACTTGCTCCCTTTTTATTCTATTCTTCTTTCTTTCCGTCTTTTTCTTAAATTCGTGATTCTTTTTCAAAATCGACGAACTTAATGTTCAGTGTGTATTTATACAATAATGTTCAAGTGTAATTTAAAAAATACCACATAATATAAAAAAGTGCAATATATATTAAAAACTTCATTGTATAATTTTAAAAATTCATCATATAATTATGCAGTAATGTTAAGGGCGTATTTTCAAAAAATATTGCATAATATGAAAAATATGATGTAATATTAAAACATGTTCACTAGATATAACAAAATTGTTCATATATTATACAATAATTTTAAGTTTGTATTTTAAAAAATCTTACATAATAAAAATAGAGTGTAAACTAAAAATACGTCGACAATAGTGAAAAGACGTACACAGTTTATTACAGGCCTATATAAAAAAGAAATATGCAAAAATTAAAAGGGCAACACTACGCGTCAGCCGACGGATAAAGAGGAAATATCGGCAGCATCGCTGCCCATTGGATGGACAAGCTAATGGCCATTCGATCTACTCACCTAAGCAGCTACCCCTGCGCAACAAGAGTGGTGTAGCAAAAGGCCCTCTGCAATATGATGCTTGTTGCAATCACCTCGAAGAATTTATTTTTTACTGAAAAATCTTTGCCTCAAAAATAATGTTGCAGAAATATTTGCAATAAAGGATGTGTTGTAGAAAATGTTGTTGACCGATTTTTACCAAATTTTGTGCAACAAAGGTCGTGTTACAGAAAACCTTTTGCAACATCGGACATGTTGCAGAGAGCATTCTAGTGGTAGTTGCGTGCAGCTCGTCGGTGTGCTTGCCAGCGCCAAGCCCCGATGGTCGGAGTAGCACGGGGAGGCAACAACTCGCCGGCATGGTAGTCGGCGGCGAGCAAAACAGGCGGCAGTTGGAACAGCGCAGGGAGGCTGCGACTGGACGGGAGCTCAAGGTCGTCGAAGCAGTGGCGGAAATAGGATTTGAAACCAGGGTGGTCCTATTTTTTTTTACAACAAACATGGCATGTCTTCACTCTAAGTAATTACCAATACCACATAGAAATATAGATCAATATCGTTTTACAATCATTCTAATTTTCTCAATTAAGTGTCAATTTTGCATTAAAAAACTAGACAGTACATACCTTACCACATTTGTCATCTTTAGTTTGCTATACGGTCACATTCAACATAGTGACTGCTGGTTCTTGAGTTTACTCTTCAACCACAACCGGCATAAGCACAAGTTTTTACTCTTCGGTCACATCCCGCATATATCTTTCTTCCCTAACTTCATAGCATGTTTGTGAAAAAGTTTTGCAATATCTCCTTTCCTCTTCATTCTACAATACTTCTACAATAAGAATTTACATTCTATCAATCATAAGTTCATAATGACACAATTGAACAGAAAAGATGTGCAAAATAATGTGTGTGTTCGACGGCTCATGTACTCCATATGGATAGTGCACAACAAATAGCAAACCCTAAATCAAAAATCGGGGAATGGTCAATTGGCGAGCTGGTACCTCAAATCAGGCAGAGTAGAGTGCGGAGTGCGGACTAGGCGGCTGTCGCCGCCTTGTAGTGGCGTTAGACGGCCGGGGGCAGGGTAGGGTCGCAGGTTGTCGGGGGCGCGGCTGGCGCCAAGCAACGGGCAGGCCACGGGCGCGATGGAGAGGAAGTAGCGGACGAGCCTCCAGGCATCTGGGCGGCCGATGACCTTCGAGGGTGGCGACGCAGCCTCACCGGAGGCGGGGACGGGGCGGACGCCGGCCAGCGGCTATGCGTCGTGCAGGGTCTCGCGTTCCTCTGACCGCGTGGTGCGTCTAGGCGTCTCTTTGTGTCTTACGTCTGGGTGTGGATTGTTGTTGGGCTGTTTTTCTCTTCTCTGGCCCATCACTAAATGTATAACTATATAGGTCAGTACAACTTTC